TACTAATCTAATACGTAAGGATGATGATATGATCAGGAAAACATCCGAAATTGTGAGTATATTCTTGGTTCAAGCAAGGATCACAGTTGGCCTAGAACTGATGATGATGTTAGGACCTTGTTAGAGTGTAAATAGGCCACTCCTTGCAGAACTCCATACGAGATGTCCCTAACTAGGCTATCCTCGAGGCCCCCTTCCCCTAGCAAGGATAATCATTATGTCTAGTAGAGTAGTAGATAGTGCCCGCAGTACCCCCAGTAGAGAGGTCTATAAATCGTGCAAGGTCTTGATGGTAGTAGTCGAATACCAGATATACGGTGGAGGCTTCCAAATCTACAGTGAAGCCTCGTAACCTGCAGCACTCGGATGAGAGTAACATCACTAGCCGAGACAGTATGAGCAGTAGTACTCCACTATATTAGGATGATGTAGTGCTTGTAATAGGCCTACTTCCCTTAATACCGATGCTGGGATGCCTAGGGACAGTATGCTCAGGAGAGTAGTAGTAGTGGTAACAAGCACCTTCTGACTCGTCCCGTAGTTTGATAGTTTTCACTGCACAAATCCTCGCATCATTTATCTAAGTACTAGATATAGGATGGTAATATGAAGATGATAGCATCTTACATCTCCATCGGCCTTACTATCTTCATTATTATGATGATAGTCATCATCATGATGATGCCAACGGGCCTTATAAACCTTGCCGTAGATACCCTCCCCAACGAGGGACATCAGCTCAATAGGTTGCTGCTGTTGCTGCTTGCGATGTGTACAAATCCTACTACTAGTCGAGTCGAGTAATGACATTGAACAGGTCCAGACAGTCCTGATCCAGTATATGAAGGGCATAACACAAGGCATGTAGTAGAGAGTGGGATACTGGGACAATATCTGTTACCATACTCATTATCGTACTAGTAATGCTATCCTAATGGTAAGCGGCGAGGCAACTCTCAAAGGGTAATGAAGCCAAACGAGTGGGGAAGTCTTGTACTATAAGTAGGATAGAAAGTGGATGATGCCTCAGGAGGCAAGGGAGATCATGAAAGTAGTCATGATGAATGGTGGTATTGTTATTAAACTGCAAGTAGGGAGCGTAAGAGTGGTACTTGTATAATAACAGCATATGCACACCAAGAGCATAGAATACATCCTATGTACAGGAAAGGTAGGGCAGTAGAAAAAGGCATTTCAAAGGGGATAACAAACAAACCGGTAAGTATATCAGCAAACAACCAATGGAAAAGATACACAACCAAACCAACCTTCTGAGCATGCCCAGCGAGCCTTTCAGTCCAGCTCTCCTTCGGCTTAGTTAGAGGAATGTCATCATCATCATCTATTGCAGTATGAGTAAGATCGGCACTAGCCTGATCTACTGGTACATGCTGAGAGTAGCAGCACTATTAGATGTGGACTCCTTCAGTGTATCGC